ACTGACATGAGGTTTTTAATGACCATACTCCAGTATTCATGCGAGCTCAATGCCACAACTGCTCTTTAGGTACCCCATATCTATCAAAGCCTCCTGACTAAAATGTCTTTACCCTAATAAGCCCACTCCTCTCTCCTCCCACTAAACAAAAATTCTACAGTATTGGTTGTATTGTTATTGATTTGACTGTATTAAATTGAGCTTATCTTGTTATTCATTCCTTTCTAGTCAAAATAGAAATGTATATATCCTCCACTGTTGAAAAGTAACCCGCTATTTCAAAAAAAGTCCATTACCTCCCACCCCTGCCCCTACTTATTTGTTCTCGACTGAGTTCTGTATCATTACACAACAAAATCACTTTCTTGCACAAGAAATATCATCGAATTAATTAACGTCGATGCCGTGACTTGCCGCTTAGATAAATTTCCTTTGTTACAAGATATCCTTTACCTTCACACGGCTAGATTTTCAGATATATGAACAACTTACCTTGATGAAATTTAGGTATCGGTACAAAGCTGTTTGCTTGAACAAGTGAAGATCGAACGTGTAGTAGAAGTTTTCCCGCCACAAAAGGCCTCCGTGTTTCCTTGCTTCCAATTACACTTGAGTCTTCATTCGTACTCGCCAGCGTTAGCTAGGCCCAGTACACTCGGTACAGTGTATATCACAACGAGGCACAATATCAACAGGAGGTCCTTCCAGGTTTGGTATAGGATAATCGCGCGCTTTTTTGAATCTCAATTCCGTTGACGACTCTGTTAACAAAGCATCCGAACGAAGCGATTGTTGTCTGTTTATTTTACAGTTAATTCAGGGTTAGGGAAAGTAAGCGAAGGAAATGGCAGAAAGACGAGTAAACGATCGTGGACAAAATCAAGATGATAATGCGGTTCCAGCGGCAATTAGAAATAGTAACATGTCCGAAGAATGCATCGTACTGCTGGAGGAATTGATCCGCAGCAACCGGGCTCTGGCGAGCGAAAATGAAAAGCTGCGGCAGCAGCAAGAGTGCAGCAACAAATCAAACTTAGAGGCTCTTCAGCGGATTGAGAACCGTCTTGAAACTGGTGATAATGGAGCCAAAGTCCGTCGGCGCCAAAATAGACAGAAGCGAAGGACGATAGTAGTTCCACCAGCTTGTCGAGTGAGTAGAAAAACTTAACTGATGAGCATATATATGTTCATGATTTGCTGAATTCAGTTCTGTTTCGTGGAAGATTTGCTTTTATGTTGAGTACGTGTTTGGCGCGCAAATTATATGCATAACTCAATTATTTAGGCGGTAATCATTTGGCATAATTATGTGTGGTTACATTTACTTGATAATCCCCTTTACCATAAACAGGTCTACCAGAAAGGTTTTTTCCTCCCTGTTCTTTCAACGAGAATAATCCAGTACGAAAATTCATGTTATTATCTTTTCTCTTGAACCCTTTTGACTTTCCCTGTTTTAATCACACAGATGGGTAAGGTTAATTGTACTTGTGTAAAAAGAGTGGAAGTAGAAATAGGGGAAAGGTGACAAATTGATTGTTGAAATTATTTCAATCTTTTAGAGAGCTGTGAGAAGGATATATAAACTTCTTTTAAAAAAAGACGACTTTGGTGGATTTTATCTTGACGAAGAGTGAGTAACATGTTATTATATTCAAAGATATTTTACTTTATATTGATTAAACCGTGAAATCAGAGTCTAAGCTGCTGCTAGAAATATTGAGATGTTATGTGAATACCTTATTGTTGTTGCTTTTGTCTAAGTGTTAATACTGTTAAAACAGAATACGTGGCTTAATCACGGTGTTTGTTCTTGTCTCAGAGTAAATTCTGATAACAACTATGGAATTTTTGAGCGCACAGTAGAGCAGGTTGTACATCAACAGGGAGGACCTGAAAAGTGTCCCTGGACAAAGGATATCATTGAAGGTAGCTATCAATAATCATAGCACATGCATTTCACTTTCATTGGGGTGTCATTATGATTTTTTGCAGGTGGGCATAAGAATTTGGCACTTAAGCGTATTGATGTATATCTCTTTTATAACAAGTTGAGTTTCACTGAAGGCCTTGGCTTAAAAACATCCAGACAAAATCGCGCTCACAGTTGGTCAATTTGTCTAGAGCCCAGTCCTTAAAGATACCCCTGCTTTTAGTCTGTACCATCAGTTAGTGTCTTTAACCACTTTTCCCTCAACAAAAATTTCATCATAGAACTAGCATTCAGTAACACAGTTAGATATCATGCAACTTCTAATGAGCACCCTCATTATATGTTTCAAATTTAGGACAAGAGGAAGGGTATATTTTTAATTTTTTCCTAATTTACATAATAACTTTCTCAAATGTTGCAGAAATTTAAATATGTTGCAAACTAGAACTTTCAGGTTAATTTCTTGTCTCTGAAACATTAAATTCAGTGTAAATCCTCAACAAAGCTTACTTCACACCTTAGCAATGAATCACCAAGGACATACTGCAAATTTATATAACTTGGCAAATATTCCTATGCGGCCAGCCATAAATGATTATAAATTTGAACATTGTCATTTATTTATATGGGAATCTTTTTATAATCAACTTCTCATGGCATTTTGATAATTATTTCTTTGAACAGCTGCTTTACAAAGATATTTTAAAACGTGCCTAGAAACACATAAGCTGAAGAGCAGTAATCGCTATGAGGCACATAAACAAAAAACAAGAAAGAGTGGTCGCCAAAGAGAGGTATTTATTGGGATACTATTTTAACATTTTACTTTTCATATACCCTGCTGTTTCCCACTGAATGCATTTTTTTTGAGTACATTGCCACTTCAAAATTGGATGGCTTTGCATATAGACACTTTTAAGGGACTGTGTCCTGTCAAAATTGTTTTGTGCCTATGAGAGCAATTGTTAAATGAATTATGTATTCTAGTCTGTATCTAGAGCCTTCCTTACAAAGAAAATCTTTGTAAAGTAAATTTGGCAATTGTATAATATTATTTTAAAGATGGATCTGTAGTTGAGGAAAAGAATGAAAAATATTAAGATGTGATTTGAGATCAATGATAGCTTGTATGGACCATTTGATGAAAAGTAAAGGACAAGGAGACTCTATAGTAAAACATGCTTAAGAATTCCATTCTTACACTGTGTGCACATGCATATCTAGAGAAATTAGTAATTTGGATCATATTTTCCATTTGAGGTCTTATAATACCCTTCTCATGCTTGTTGTATATTTTTGTTTTTTCAGAAGTTAATGAGACGAACTACAGCCCTGGAGCTGGTCAACTGGGCTGACCAGCATGAAAAGGGGAGAGTGGCGGAGGTTCTTGTGATGGAGGCGATGAGCAGTGAAGAAAGCTGTTACAAGGATGATGATATAAATAACTCAAAATTAACAAAATACTCTGTCCATCGCCTTCAATGGGAGAGTAGAAGAATGAAAAAAATAAAAAAAAAACTTGATAAGGCCTATAAGAAAAAACTCACTTCAAGAGCTAAGGAGAGAATCCTACCCAGAGTTGATGGGCAACCTTCTCTGAGATGCCCACCAACTGAAAATTTTCCGGGGTGGGCAATAAGGCAGTAAAAGAAATTGTTTTATCAATTTAAAAATGTATAATATATCCAGATCATAAAGTATTAATCAGCCATGTCTAGAATGAAGGTCTTTTACATGCCTGCGTGAGACTTCTTTTTCATTGAATATGTTAATTAGCAATTTTAATGGTCTCATTATCTAAAGTAAGTAATTGTGAATTCTTCAATTTTATATTTAATTTCCTCCATATGAGATACTTTTTTCCATATTGATGTACAGGTCGGCAAATAATTGATAGCTATCGCAAATTTAAATTGATTTAGAAAAATATACTGATTTTTTAGATTGATAGGTTGAACTTATTTTTTATTGTTAGTATCAGTTCAAATTGCATTTCTTAGGGGCTGGATTTGAGAGTGAAATTTGTGAATTAATAGCTTTTTGTGTAGTGTGTTGCTACAACTGGTTATATTCTGTAGTTCTTATATTTTTATAGTGATAAAGATTCGATTCTATTCTATTCTATATAGATGACTGAGATTATATGAATTATACATTAATGAAAGAGAAACAATCTTAATAAATTATGACAATTAGTAATTCAAACATTTGGATGTCTCTTTTTTAATTATGTTTGTGCCTCAAATGAGATATCCTCAGCTTTATTGCGGGTTTACTCTATCTCAGGGGAGGAAGTGAGTTTTGAACGAAACTATTTCATCACTGCAATTTCAAACATTCTGTAATTACTTGTATGTGTGATGTCTCTTTTTCTAACAATTTAGAAGTTTCCCAAAATATTATAAGTTATAATATAAATGTGGGTGTGATTAAGCAAATCAAAAGTCAATTTAAGGTGAAACCTACAGCTTTTAGAGGCACTTAAAGGTCACTAAATGATGAATTTTAACAAAACTTGAAATTTAAGAGGACCTTAAAGTACAACTAAAGATGAATTACAACAAAACCTGCAACTTTAAGTAGTACTTAAAGGGAAACAAAAGATTAAAGAAACCTTTAAGTTGCCTTTACAAGTAGAAGTTTTGGCAATTAAAGACGAGTTTACGAGAATTAGGAGGATTCTTAAAGTCAATTAAATGGTTATTTAGGTTTACTTTCATGTGATCCTAAAGTGTTCATGAAATGGTTCATAAGGAGACTTTAATTGACTTCTGAAAGTTAAATTAAAGATTCATTTCAGAACTTTCGTATGTCACCTAAAGATGTCTTAAATACTTCTAATGTTAACCTTTAAGTTACCTTTAAGGAAACTTAATTTAGTCATTTCATTATTATCTTCAAGTTAGAAAATTAGTGAAATAGAAAGACACAATATTATAGTTTAATATTTCAGAGGTACATTGAGTGCTTTTTCCGTAGAGAATCCGCACGATGGTAAAACATTCGAAAATTACACTCGATTTGAGTGGGGTATTGAAGTGGGCGTGGTCACTACATTCATGTTAAGACTATTTGTACCCCATGAGTTTGATATGAAAAACCTTTCAGACAATACATTAACTGATCACCAAGTCAGTGTGTTAGCAAAAGGGCTTAAATTTATTGAAACACCCGTGACAAATGAAAATAAGATCAGGCAACAATTGTTGCGTGACTTCGAACAATTCGCTAGGCGAATGAGACTTAGATATATATTCTACGGGAATGACAAGGAACCACATCCTTTCCACGTCAAATCAAACTGGATACCAGCAGTACAACCTTCTATTGCCCTTGAACGCTACTTCGAAAATATCAAGTTAAGCCTTGCTGAAATAGAAATAACAAAGCCAAAACACAACCTGTCATACAACGAACACAAAGCAGTCAAAGAACTTCAAAACAATACTGCCATCAACCTAAAACGTGCTGACAAAGGCACCACAACAGTGATTCTCAACAAGAGGGACAAAATTCAAGAGGCCCAGGTTCAGCTCGACAACAGAGACCACTACCGACCTCTTGAAAACCCCATGGTCACTGACACATAAAAAAAAGTTAATGAGCTTATTGCTCAACTGCACAATGGCAAACATATAGACGATATGACAAAAAAGTGGCTTTCACAGACTCCCAATCCGCCCAGAATACCGATTTTCTACACTTTAACAAAAATCCACAAACCTTTGCCAGTGGGTAGACCGATTATATCGGGATGCGAAGGACCCACTGAAAGGATATCATCCTTTGTGGATCATTTATTATAGCCTATTGCTCAAAAGCAAAAATCGTATCTCAAAGATACGACTGATTTCATCAACTTTATAGAGAAAACGCAAGTGTCAAATGATACTATTTTAGTATCAATGGATGTAACAAGCTTGTACACAAACATCCCACAAGAAGAGAGTATCCTGACAATAGTATGCCAAGCATACGAAAAATACCACAATAACAGCCCTCCCATTCCGTCCCACTACTTAAAACAAATGCTCGGGCTTATGACTGAAAGAAAATTCGTTCCAGTTCAACGGAGTTAACTATCTCCAGTGTTTTGAAACTGCCATAGGAACACGAATGGCGGTTGCTTTCACCAATCTCTTTATGGCAGAAATTGAAACAAAACTGCTTCACCAAAGTAGTATCAAGCCGAGAGTATGGAAGCGTTACATTGCCGACGTTTTCTCCTTGTGGGATGTTCGTAAACAAGACATTGATCTATTCATAGAACAAGCTAACACGTTCCATCCAACTATAAAGTTAACGGCTGAAATCTCAGAGACTGAAATCACATTCTTAGACACGGTTGTCTACAAAGGTGAAAGATTCCAAAACGAAGCTATCCTCGAAGTCAAAACTCGCTACAAACCGACCGAGACCTTTCAATATACACACTATTCATCTTGCCACGCGCCAGGTGTTAAGAAAGGCTTTATTAAAGAAGAAGCTATCAGACTTCTAAGAACAAACTCCTCGGAAAGAAATTTCAAGGAGGCCATGTGTAACCTCAAAACACGACTTGAAGCACGTGGTTACCCAAAAAGCCTAATTGAAAAAACGTTATCTGAGGTCTCGTTTGCCGCAAGGCGGTCGACACTTAAAAAACAAACCAAAAAAACTACAGGCAAAATATTGCCTTTTGTGACAGCATACCACCCAGGGGTTAAAAATTTAAAACAAATACTGAAGCAAGAATGGAACCTCATCCAAAATCAGCCACTGCTGAAAACAATTTACAAAACGCCTCCGATTATATCATACAAAAGAGGTAAATCGCTCAAAGACATACTCGTCAGAGCGAAGCTTTAATTAAAGGCTTTTGCGTCGCAAACGTAAAACCACACAGGGGAGTCTGTGTAGGCCTGTCTATGACCTTTTCAAACATACAAACTATACACTGCAACACACGTTTTTTCGAACCCATTAACGCCATAACCCCATTTGAACAAGTCCTCACTGTACCAGATTTGGAATTCTTGGCTCGTTTCCAGCGCCAGCAGGGTAGAGAAATTATCAAAGAGCAGTTGTGGTGATTCGGTTGTGGCCCAAGGCAGGCTGTAAAACTTGCAGTCCCAATAATCTGAGAGGAAATCACTCTTTGGGAGAAGAAGATTGCGGTTCTTGTCAGTTGTCAACGTGGCCATTTGGTTGGGAATGAGACGGTTCTTAAGGCATCCCCATTTGGATTGATAGCTTGGGTTCGATGAATGACAGGTCACGTAACCGGATTTGCACGTTAATTTGAATGTAATGATGTTACCCGCCTTGGAAGTTCTAGAGAAACCATACGAATCATCTCGTGCCCAAAAGCAAACTGTAGATGGCATCATCTGTATCCATCTTACTGTTGGGAAAAGGACCAGCATATATATGATGAATTGATTTTGAACAAAAGAATGGAGTTGGGCTGAATAAGACTTACAGTTGGATTCATCGAAAGATAACATAAAGGGTTAGGTAGAGTTTTTGATAAAAGTATTTCACCAAATGAAAAATGTATTTTTACCAACCGTTTCTTTTCTCGCAGTTGGTGCCCTTGTATTCAGGTGGAAAAAGGCATCTGTAACCTTTCTCTGTAAATCCTGTCTGACAAGTGCCATTATGTTGGCATGGAGTCTGTCCACAAGTTTTCTGGTGTGAAAACGAGGTTTAAAAGCAGATATATGCCAATTGAAGTGGTAAGTGGTAATGATACTTTGAAATGAAAATTGAAATGTCACATGAGATCAAATCAACCAAAGAACCAGCCACGCAACCCGTCAACCATACAAATCAATTGCAAAAAAACATTGCGCAACCAGCCAAACAACATATCAGTGAAACAACTTACCGTCGAAACATTTACAAGCTAAAAAACCCAAGGTTGAGCTAACTCTACAGACTAATCTACCAAATGACAAGTAATGTTACGCGCATAGTCATGATGGAACACCAACCAACCATCAATAGGATAAGAATGTACTCACCATTGTTTCTTTACATCTGTAGTTTGTCTAAGACTTGAGATCCTGATGATGTTAATTGTGTGTGGAATTTTTCAGTTCACATTTTATGATTACTGGAGGTCCGCTGGTCATTTATTAGTTATAGTTGACACAGTTGGGTTCCATGTAGCATAAAGCTGAGCAGAGTTCTTGTACGGGGGATTCTACGGTTCGTATCAGGTGGTTTATGAGCCGTTTGCCAAGGTAAGCAAGAGAAGATGTAAATTCCATCTTGCGACAGAAATCTTTGGGAAATTGAATCAGATTTGACTAGCACCACTTATGGTTTACTTCTAGACAGGTAAAGAACCAGGTGCGTTTTTGAGGGACGAAGCAAAGCTAATGGAGTGATGAAACTTACGAGTTATTTAAGTAACAAAACACAACATTATCGCATCTCTCTCCTCCACGACCAGTCATAACCATTACAATGTCCTCAAATGTTTATGTACTTTAGCTGCTTTATTTTAGCACTAGTTAATCTGTAGAGTTGTAATCGGACAGTGCAATCGGACATTCAACTGTAATTGGACACCTGTAATCGGACAGTTAAAGCAGCTAATCACCTTAAGTCCACTCCTCCAAATCCCCCAAACACAGAGTTGATTATAATAACCGTAGCAACAACCATTTACTCTACTAAACAGTGTCTCTAACAAAGATATTTTCTCAACTAAATGTACATGTATTTGTGATTTTGCTAATTCTGTGGGATTTCTTGAAAAGATCAGTTTCCCATCAAATAATTGACTTAAGGGAAAATTGATCAACGAACCTGTTTCTGTCAGAAATTTGTCTTGATAAACTCAAGAGGAGAGCTCATTTAAAAAAATTGAGATTATTGCCCAATTAAACCTAGATAATAATGATACATTTAAAATGTGTCGGAAGGCCGTTGATGTCTCACTAAAGGAGAGAGATATCTCAACAAATCAACCTCTCACTTCCTAAAGTTCGGAAACCCCTCCGGAGGTTATTGATTATTCACCCGATGGAATGATGAACTTTGCGCTTCAACAACACTAGCGAAAGTAGCTTTAACAACACCAAAAAGATACAGTGGAATCTGTTTTGTTTACTGACATCTGGTAAGTGATAATTCATTGTTTCATGTAACCTCACACTGATTACATGTAGATGATTTGAATAGCAGGCGATAAGAGGATTTGGCCCTTGGGAAAGTCAATGCAGATTTTCTAAAGTGCAACAAAGACACGTAAACCTCGGAGTACTTAGACGTGCTATTTGTCTAAGGCTCTCTGTCAGTGTTAAATAAAGCAACCAGAGTAACAGATCACACCATCTCTGTTACCGGTCACATACACACAAATAACCTGAAAAGGTTATTAAATTAGGTTTTAACTGGTCTTCATTTCGGAGCTCTTTTTGTTGGAATGGCTTTGAAAGAACTACTAGCGTAGACATCATTCAGATTTTACCCATTTCACTCAACACGCTTTCCTATAAGATTCACCTGCTAAGGTATGATTAAATCAAAATAAGGAATACTAAACTCCTACAACTTAAACTACTTTATTAAACAACGTATAATGATTCTTTCTCAGGAGCTACTCGTATAGGCAATACAATAATTGTCCTTTAAAAACTTACTTAAGCCCACTACAGACTAAAACTTAGCTCTCTACTGAGAGAGAATCTCCACAAAATACACAATCTTTTAAGTATATCACAGTACTGAGTACTGAGCTATCTTTTGTAGAGCTTCCTAGATATTCGGTCTTTTCTGACTAAAGAAATTAGTACTCCTAACTGACCGAGTCCTTATATACCGTCATAACGTACTTCAAAACATTCCAGAATTCGAAGCTTACAACACAACTGTTGTGGTAGAAATAGATCGTAACCACATAACCCATTAGAATGTTCTAGTTTTCCGTGATATGTCACCAGAAAGTTTGAGTATCGATGTCATAGTGACTAAAAATTCTAGAAATTATTTATTTCTCTATCCACAACACACCGAACACGATTTAAAAATCCTTGTAAATCATGATGCTAATGAAAGCACGACTGAACATAGTAAACAACTTGCTTATAATCACGGACCGCCGTGACCCACCGTGGAAGGCTTTCAGACAGAATAACAACTTCATGTACAGAAGGCGTGGGTATCAAAAGCTGCTTTAGTTTCTAACGACCTGAGTAAACATCAAGAGTTCAAAACGTTTAGTAATAAGCAAAATACAATGCTCAAAGTTTTGCTTAAAACTTACTGAAGATGTTTGATTGGAATAGATAGAGATGATGATAAGATTATTTGGAAGCTCATTAATGCCCATAGTTGTTGACACTAGCTGAGGGTGGGGGGAGTCTCCTCTAATACTCGGATAAACAACAATTGTTCAGTCGACTCTGATGATGATTTCCGCTGAGGTTATAGAAACGTCAATCAGTAACACTGACAACCTTCAGTCACAACTTCTCAGGAGTACTCTTACTTGGAAGATCAAACTACGCGGTCCAAAGGTACTCTTCTGTTCAAACTATTCACTGTTTAACACTAATCATAAAAAGTGGATCATGTGAAATTCTTAAAGTCCCTGTTATACATTAATGTGCATGTGCCAATAATTAAATCGATTTGTGAATCCTTTCGTTGAGCAGAATGACTTGCTTATAGCATTCAGTCTGTGCCACAGTAGCGCAGATCACAACCAGGTACCTTTTGTAGTTTGTAAATAAAGTAGGATCCGCAGTCTTTCACTTTTATGTCCCTTGATTTCTTGCAACAATCTCCACCTCTGGTAAAGCAGACCTTGGAGGAAACCTCACCATCTGCCAATGTGGGGTGACCACCTTTTAGCCAGCCTGAGAAGACCGCACCACATCTATTATCCGGTACGCACTGGGTTGGCATTTTTGTTCCTGCATCTCCCACGAAACGATACCATTCCCCGAATATTATGGATGAGGATTCGTCGTCACATTTTTCTCCACCGTAGGGTGTGTTGTAAGTGCTCTTTCTGTCAGCATCGCTCAGGTTTCTGTAATTATAGCACGGATCGGCTAAAAAGTTGAATTTCGGTTAATGCGATGTTTTATATATTTCGTTATAAGAAAGCTTAAGGAAAAAAAAGCTATTATATAAACTGCGGTGGTTTAAAACGATTTCCCGCCCTGAGAAGAGCCGGGAAATCCATGTTAAACACGCGTATAATATTACGATAATTTTTTACATGTGTTTGATATCGCCAATCAGCTGTGTCAGGTTAATAAATGAATGGCAAAGCGTTGACCGTTCTCAATCCAGGGTCGCATGTCGAGATTTTCTCGAATTATGGCTGCTAAAAAAAAGAAAATTCGTATTTCTAACAGACAATGTCACTCAAAATTTCCTAGAAGGGGAAGTAAAACAAAATACGAAAAGAAAAACCGAAAGTTCGGTCTTTGACTTGGGTAATGGTATTTCTCGTGGCTGAGAACGAAAATCGACAACTGGAAGATTTGCCACAGGCCGATTTCGGCCGTGTACATGAAAATATTTCGTTTGTTGGTAAGGAAAAAGTCAATAACTGAGAATTTTGAGAAAAGAAAGCTACGCCCATTGTCTGTTTCTGTAATGGTTCAACGCATTTTTTTCATCTCGAGCCTTATCGCCGATGCGCTTTACGACTTTTCTTTTCGCAGATTGTGAAACCTATAATTTCATTTTTTAAAAAGTCGACTTTTCTTCCCAGTAAAGGCCTATTGTGTTTATGTGATAAACAAAATAATAGATGGTCGCTTGCAGATATGGAACTTCTCTTCTCGTGTTTATCTCGATACCAAGAGATTATAACAGTTTATATTCTCTTGCTCGATACCTTACTCGTTCGCTGCTCTCGCTCACGAGATAACAAGTTGAACATTCGAAGAGAAATTCTATATCAAAGCACACCCAAGTATCATTCTCTATTTATTGAATGAGTACAAAATAGCCGAGTTTGTCATACAGCCTCAATACAAAATCCCTTAAAAGTTACCATATTCAACGAATTTCAATGCGTGACTGTGGCGCGATCGCTCAGTGATCGCTTTTCATACAGCCCTGCAATCATCGACTGCTGACCACAAAAAAGGTTGTTGATGAATGTAAAGCCATCAAACTTGTTAATAAGTGCTCCCGTAAAAATTTCCCAGGGCTAGAATTATTTGACTGTGAAAAAGTTTTCTGTGTCGTAGTGGAATTGTAGTGAAGTAAATAGTTTTTCTTCGATCTGAGCAGATATGCCTGGAAAACTTTGTTGGAACCGATTACTGCTTAAGGAATAGAGAACCTTTTTTCCATGTTTACATACTCTCACCTAAATACGAGAGGAGGTTGGGAGAATTTGAGAAAGTTATGCGAACCCGATACGCAGTCAAGGGTTTGCATAACTTTCAAGAAATTTCCAAGCCTCGAGTGTTTAAATGAGAAAATGTAAACACTGGAAAAAGTGCCCTATATATTATAAGCAAAATTCTCCAATAACGTTACAGAGGAAGGTAAATGTTGAGAAAGATGTTTTTTCGTCTTGTCACGAGCGTGGGATAAAGAAAAATTCTGGGTCCCCATGAGGAATCGAACCTCAGACCTTCGGATTTGCGCTCCGCTGCTCCATCACTGAGCCACAAAGACTCTTCGAGGTCTATTACAATTCGGATACTGCAATAGCCGAAGTTTTTGATCTCGGTGAAGAAGATTCCTCATGGGGACTCAGAATTTTTCTTTATCCCACGCTCGTGACAAGACGAAAAAACATCTTTCTTAATTCTTCATCGAGCTCAAAACTTACCATCTCTACTATTTCTATCAAAGGTAAATGTTGTTTGTTTATAACATGACTGATAAATATTTTATCAACACATGCTCTGGACGATAGTGTTTCCTAATAGCCAATCAAATCGTGCATCTGACAAAAATTCGCGTTGTAAAAAGTCAAGTTGCTATGCTCGTAGTTTCGTCGGCTACACTCAAATTTGTCTACGTTTTCCTTATTTGGACAAATATTCTTCCATTAATTACTATTTAGATAAAGAAAAACAAACAAACTGAATCTTGCTATCAGTCTAAAGGTGATTCCTCAGTATTGCACTGGGCATCCTGTACTGCGCATAAAAATCACGTAATCAGGCAAGTAAGCGCACACATTCCGAGAACACGGTATTGCTTTTCAATAAATGGACCATGCAAACAGGTACAATGCTCTTTAGCTCTTGAACGAGCGCGGTGACCTCTATTTTTCATTGCATAATTTTTGTGTACAAATCTTCCCCTTTAACTTGGAGAAATTAAGAAAATTGTCGAAGGCAAAAAAAAAAAAAAAAGAAGACATAGCTAAAAACGTGCACAAAGCCCGTTACTTGATGATGAAAATCATTACCTTGAAAACAACGACGTGAGGAACGTTTTGAGTGATAATAATTACTAATATATATAAATAATTTCCACAAATTACATATCAAATTTTCCACACGCTCGAGACTTTGTACCTTTTAAGTTTTTTCTTTTAATTTTTACTTCGAAATCCCTTGATTCCAGCTACCGAAAAATGTACCTTGAAATGACGCGCGGGAAAAATTGCTAGTAGAGGCATAAATGAGGTAAGTGTTGCCCGTCATTTCTCTCAAACAAGCAAGGTGACCTGCCTTTCTTATTGCATTTTTCGAAACAGCCATTGGTAGGAAACATTTAAAGGCAGACTAAAAAAATTGTTAGATGACTTTTTTTTTTTTTCTGAGGAATTACCTTATTAGGTCAGAGTGAGAAAATCGTAACTGCGGTCAACATCGATTTTAACCAATCAGACTATTCTGTTTAATTGAGACATCATCAATATAATTACATTTGCAGGACAGTTATGCATCATCAAGAATAAATTATTTTCTCTCGTGGTGGACAAAAACAATGCACACCAAGTCCACAAATATGATGTAAAAAATCAAATTTATCTTTCTTTATCCCCGATGTTTTGTCGATGGACGTTTCCAAGCAAACTAAAGGTACTAAAAACTAACGTGATTTGTTACATGGCCAAACAAGAATAGCCATTCACTCAACATTATTTACAGCGAGTTCAGCCAGTACCATCTCTAAAAAATATATAAGGCATGGATTAAAAGAGACTAACCTTTACAAGTCAGACCATCCCCAATGTATTTAGGATTACAGGCGCAACTGTAGGAGCCCTGGGTATTACTGCAAGAGGCGTTCTTATCGCAGATGTTCATCTGTGAACACTCGTCAATGTCTGATGGGGATCAAGTGCACCACGTCACAACCCAGAGTTGGATGTTATGATGAAAAATGTTTTGGTGAATCAAGATATAATGAATACCTATCCAAAATACTGCAAATCTAATCTCAAAGGATGTGGGACAAAACAAAACAATCCACAATTTTTAATGAGGGATGAATTTTAGGATAAATGTTTGACTACTTCCGGCCTTATAATTTAAGCTAAAAAGACGTTTCAGATTACCTCCCGCTTTGAGTAGCTGGGATTGTATGTATAGAAAGAGCAGCAATGGAGGTTGCCTCTCTTCGGACATAAAGGACTTTTCTGGACATTGAAGAAAAGTTATCAAAATCACCTGAGCAAGTTTGTCCATCTCCAGTGTATCCAGTGTGGCATGTACATACATGTGATCCAATTGTGTTGGTACAGTTAGCATTCACATGACAAGAAAGATTTCTTGCACATTCGTCAATATCTGAGAAATGACAGGCTTTCAATCACGATTCTTGGAGTATGATACATGTATAAACCTCCTTATTTTGAGCATTGAGTGCATTTCGTCCTCTTGCTTTCAATTGGGATCATTTTCTTTTTTTGGTCAAAAATATTAAGGCAAGGGTAACTACTTTATCAAAACAAACAAACAGAGAAGGTACGTACAAATTAAACAAACAGTTAAAAATAAAAACACAAGCAAACAAATAAAGTCATAACGAGGCAATTACAATCTAAAGGCCTTTACCTGTGCAGTTCCGTCCATCTCCGTTAAATCCAAATAAACAGGTGCACACAAAGGATCCATTTGTGTTTTGACAAGTAGCGTTCAGGTGACAATTGTGAGTATTTTTTTGGCATTCATCAATATCTAAAAAAATTGGAAAGAAAAGAAAAATTCTACAACGTTAGTGGTTACACGAGTGAGAGATACATTCGTTTTTTTAACTTTTAGGAGGTGACAGGTCATTAAGTTATTTATCATTGTGACAAATTAATTATTAATTTAGACTAAACAAAAACTTCCACTGCAGTGGAATCTCTCTCTAGACACCGTTCCAAACTGTAGTCGGATATCAATCGTCAAAGATTAGCCTTGCTAGCCTTCCTTGGTAGACTTTTTTTTCGCGGAATGTGAAACTTCTAATTTCATTCTTTAAAAAATTCTATTTTTTTCTTACTAAAGGCCTATTTTTGTCTTTTACATGAAAATATTTTTCTTTCGGTAAGGAAAAAATCAACTGAGAATTTTGTGAAAAGAAAGTTACGCCCTTTGTCTGTTTCTGTAATGGTTCAACGCATTTTTTCATCTTGACCCTTATCGCCGACGCGCTTTACGATTTTTTTTCGCGGATTGTGAAACCAATCATATCATTCTTTAAAAAAGTCACCTTTCATTCTCAGTAAAGGCCTATTGTGTTTATATGATAATCAAAATAGTACATGGTTGCTTGCGGTCATGTAACTTTTCTTCTCTTGTTCAACTCGATACCAAGAGATTACAACTGTTTATATTCTCATAAGATAGCGACTTGAACACTCGAGGAGGTGAACACGTGAGGACAAAATGACCGAGTTTCTTAGTGATAAATTGTCTAATTGTCTTGCAACGCAACTGGATGGTGCGGCACTGTAGTCGAACGTGTCATGCAGGACTATTCTACTATATTGTAGAGAAGAGATTAAATTTACCTGTGCAGTTTTCTCCATTTCCAGTATATCCAGCATGACATTGACATACATGTGATCCAAGGGTGTTCATGCATGCAGCATTCACGTGACAAGAGTGATTTCCTTTACACTCGTCAATATCTGAAAAATCATAAACATAAAAAAAAATGTAATTGGAGAAAAGTTGCGGGGCATAAGCTGAGAAGTCTTTGTCTTGTGGTTCTAGACGTGAGCACTTCACGTTACCTCTTACCAGATTTCGGTTTCCCCAAGTTCAAATCCGTTGTTCTGTCCTGTAAGCCTATCCATCAAGTCTCCTTTGCCAGTTGAGATTTTTTTACCACTGAATGTTTATTGAATACAATGGTGTCATTATCGCCATTGTCTTCAGGCCTACACCCATCTCTTCTTATACAAGGTATGCTGGTAAAACAACTCTTGCAAAGATGATAGTGCTTTTCTTTCTTATGGGAATGGTTACAAAGGAAACGCATTAAGTACCTGTGCAGTCGCTTCCATTTTCAGTATATCCGGGGTGACAAGTACAAACGTGCGATCCTTTGGTGTTCGTGCATGTAGCATTCACGTGACAAGAGTGATTTCCTTTACACTCGTAAATATCTGAGAAACTATCGATAAATTTTGCACTTTATCATTTTTATGACCCATAGTCATGTAATTCCTCTTCCTACAAAATGTGTAACAAAATATGTAGATCGTGGTAACTCTGTGCATAAACATGCATGGATAACGCTGCATAAAATTATGAGACGATTAACAAAAATTAGTTATATATGGAAATATTAAAACTACCTGAACACGAGCGTCCATCGCCGGTGTATCCCACTTTACATGTGCATTTGTAAGAACCATATGTGTTAGTACAGTTTGCATTCACGTCGCAGTCACTGATGTTAAATTTACATTCATCCATATCTAAAATGTGAGTAAGTTAGAGCAACTTGAGAGAGGCATCCACGCTAGAACTGATCCAAACCAAATATTACGATAATGATATCAATAATAGTATAATTTATAATAATTTCATGATACTGATAACTCGCCACAAAATAAAATAACTGAAGCAAAGTTATAGGACCTACCTTCGTTAACCATATCACAGTAAATCAGTTTTGCCTTTCCTTTCCTAGTTGGATCTAACCAGTACTTGCCGCTTATGGTGTGTTTACCTTCACTCGCCTTTATTTCGTGACAAGACAGCGCCGGTAATTCAGGGATAGAACCTAAGGGAGCTGCAGTAAAGATATGTTTTACATTCACTTCCTATTCTTAGCTCTTCCAGGTGAGAAGGAACCAGGCTGAGGATGGAGAAGATTTAAGAGAAATAGAAGTCACACAGATAGAGAGACATTTGATTTCTTACCTCTGCCGTTCAATCGCCGGATGTAAAACCAAGCGGGTGCTGAAAGGAAATTCTCTGGTCTCGCCTCCTTGGTGCGGTTATTTAGTTCACATATTTGGTATTTTCGATTGTAGTTATAGCTTTGGCACGTGATCTCTTGTCCACATTTGACATCGCAAAGGTGAGGAGCCGCCAGTGACCACCTTTTGAAGACATGACCCTCGAGAGCCATTCCTTGTATGTTTATTTCTGTCCTACATTGATCGTTAGCTGCGACAAACTCCATGGTAGAAGCGAAAAGGACGAATCTTAAATGGCAGAACAGCCACCACATACTTCTTTGCTTGTGCTGAATCTGAAAATATTGAGAATAGGATCATAGAAAGAAAAAAGACGAGTTTTCCCTCAACAAAACTTGTTTGATACCAGATGAAGCCATATAGCAATAATACTACACGTACATTAAAACCTTGCCTGTAAATTCGTTCAGGCACTTTCTAGTTTATGATGTGAGTAAACAATTTGCACAAGGCTCGATAGGATGCCAATCGTCAAGGAAGATCAGCACAACTCTTAACATTAAACTTTAATTTCGAAGGCTCCTTCGGTTTCTGTGGAATGATAACTTTGATCTGCTTAAGGCATTTTGAAATGTCCTCCTGATAGGCCTGATCACTTTACGCCCCCATAGAAGAACGAATGTTCAAGCATTAAAAATCTTCATTTCGAAATCTTGGTTCCAAATGTGAAGTGACAACGACTCAAACTCGACAAAAAGTTCAGATTAAATAACATAGTCTCATTATGAGCGAGAAAAAATACAATCTTTAACAAGTTGGCTAATTAACATTTATAAGCTGCTGATTATCCTCATTCAGTTATGAAATAAAAATCCCGAAGATTGTTTAAACCCTTTATTCATCTACAAAGTTCAGTAACCAAAAGGGCAAGAAAGATTCAAATACAAGGCTTCCAAACTATATGTGATGAATAATTCTTTCTAAGTTGTTCTTAACACATTCAACATTTTGGACGGGGTTCAAACTTTAGCGACCTTTTGGTAATTTTTTTAGATAAACAGAGCAACATATTATTTATCAGAACTTTTGTGGTGCATAGAAGTAATCATGTAAAGGTTCAGTTAGTAAACCTCGAGTATCGATAATCTGCTTTCGTTGAAAAAGACCTCAAGATAATTTTCTTTTAAAATCGCACCATACCCTTATTTGGGAGTGAAGCCAACCTTTTTCCTTTGGTATGCAGAATTAAAGGAGTTGCGGCTTAAAAATCTTTTCGTAAAGAATATATATTTTCCAGGGAAAGTATTACTCAAATCATTCATCGGTGTTTTCAATATGATAAACTCTTACCTCTCAAGATGCAAAGCTCTTTGGTCCCTCACTGCTTTTGAGGTAAAAGTGCTTTCTTTTAAAACAATATGGTAGCTATGGTTACGATAGAAACACCTGGTTTCAAGCCAAAACGATGATTAACTTTAGATAAGAACTTCCTTGTTCCTTCTACTTGTTCCACCAAAGTTTACACGGCTCCATTTTGCGCGAAAGTCACAATGAGCATAATTCACAGACGTCAAGCACACGCAATTCAAATGAATTGCTCGAACCTCAAAGGCTTCAGAGCTACAATACAAATTCAAGTTGACAGTGAGGACAAACAGACCAAATAAAATGCGGTGTGAATTTGCATTGTTCCGCCAAATACTTAAAATTGATCGCTAAATATTTTTTAGCTTGACAGTTTTTAATGAGTCGTCGACAATGTAGTTCAAATAAATTATTATCGCTGCAAAAATGTTAATTTTTTTTCGTCATACACAGTTTCTTGAATTTTGCTTACTTTTTTTTAATATTACTCAAAGTTTATTGAATTGTCTTCTGTCTTGTCTCAAGCAACGTTAAATCAACACGTAATAATGACTCGAAATTATTTCAAAAGTTCCTATTCTTGTAAAATCGTTCGCTCTTCTTCCCACAGCTTCGTCACCACAAGTTAGACAAAGAGCACAACTTTTTCCGTCCGTATGATAAAATCATCCCGACAATTTGTGCACAATGAAACATTTAGCCGGCTTCACGCACTCTGTAGGAGTTTTAAAACATAGTTTAGGCGCACTTTTACCAGAATAAACAATACATTTTTCCCCTTTTATTTAACATATTAAATGTTTTGTTCAAGATGACAGACAAGGCACATATCAGATGCTGTTTACGTCTTTCTATGAGACACCAAATGACTGAATTGCCTAATTCTTCGGTGGAAGTTGCTCGAATTTTCAAGGTACACTTAAAAATTGTTTAAGTTCTCAATAGGTGTGATATGCCACTGAAAAATAGCTCAATAATTTCGAACTTCAATTTAATTAAAGAAATAAAACGTTGGAAAAACTGTGTGATCCACATTTCTAATCCTCAAGTCTCTATTGTTTAAATTTCAATTGTATTAGTCTCGATGCACGAATGGTTTAATTTCTGAAATTGAAAACTGTCAAACAATCTTTAGAACTTATGTACGGACGACCTTTTTTCAACATTCGTTACATTTTTGTTTTGTATCTGAAGCAAAGAACTTTACATGAATTCAAGAAAATGTTCCAGTAGAGAATTGTGAAATTGTTTCGAAGACAGCTTTCAGGACATGGGGTTTGCCTCACCTAAGAGGCGTGCATTTTGCAAGGAACTCATTTAGCGTCGCTCTAAAGGCCCTGTTTATTATTCGAGTTGTTATCAGATAGTTGTCTTTTAACTGTCGACTGGTCTTATTCACGTTTTCAACGACATAGAGAATACTTTATCTAGGCAGGCGATAAATTAAATCGTGCTATTTTTGGAAATATGTATCGACCAAACTGTTCGAATAAAGCTCATGTAGACCTATTTTCCACCGATTACGATTCATCTTTCGTTAAATGTGTTTCATTGGCGCCTTGAAACGAAGTAAGTACGTGCATATGTAGAATATGGAATTAACAATCAAGGAAATGCAGATGCTAGAAATACAGAATATTGTGGTGAAACTTGCAAGATTTACTTTGCGAAGCATCGTGTATGTTATAATCTTCATCCTGAAACTTGCATCTTACACTTATCAAAGGATAAATTATGATTTGCCTGGTTTTTAATCAAGCATTTATGAAATAATCAGTTCGGGAAGTTAAACGCTGACTGCGATAGCAATACTGCTTCCGTTGAAGGAAAACGACTCATTGATAACAACTCAAGGCCACTCGAAAATGGCATTACATTCGTCGATTTATAATCGATAACAGAATCCTTGGAATCTTTTAGCCATCACGGCAACATTACGGCATTGAGGTTCTTAAAATCATGTACGAACATAGAGCAGCGGGCTCGTAGAACACCAAGGCGGTAAGACATCCATTAAATTTTATTCGTACCTTGAATTATGCATTGCCTCTATTTCATTTTCTACGGTCTTCTTAAGGACAGGAATTTGTGAGGAAACGGTTGCTAGATCCGTTTTTTCCTTATAACTCTACTTTTGGTGTGCTATCTTGTAAAATTAGGAAAAAAAAATTATAGGTTCCGTGTAACTTAACCAGCCTACCAAGAAGTTACTACTGCCTTCATTTGCGGATTTTTGCCTATCTGAGATAAAGAAGGTTAACAAATAAAATGCTTGGGACAAGGCAAATTTGAGTGATGTTTTTAATTGCTTTTGTTGATGTCGCTGTCACCACTGTTATATTTTAAATTCCTAACGTTTTGTATAATAGGGCCCTAGATAAATATCTCCAGCCCTCCCCCTCCAAAAAACTGTAAAGTAAAACAAAAAGGAAAAAAAACAAGAACAAAACTTGGCAGCATCGAGCATCACTTGTCTTTTGTGAAGACACAAGGTTCTTAGAGAGCATTTTCGTGTGTTTTGTTTCTCTCCTCTTATTATTTTAGGGAAGATGGAACAAAAGCCGTTAATAAGCTATCCGCCAATTTTTTTTTCAAATTCCTTCTCTACTTCATGATCGATGTCATGAAAAAAAATCGTTTTTCTCAATAAACCTTTTTTCGCCTTTTTTATTTTACAAGTCCTTGAAAATTCAGATTTTTCCTACTCGAGTTTACACGATTTCCTTCGGTTATTTAGACCGATTATCATAGAAAGAGGAAATTTATGCTAATTTTCATTGAGACAAGCCATCTTTGTCTGGCATCACGCAGCAGATTCATATACCGGTTCAAGATGTTTCTATCGATGAATTTAGTATACATTGGGGAATTCGACTTTTTCCAGGAAAGAGTAAATTAAAATAAAAAAAGTCAAACACTATATTTTTCAAACCAAAAATATCGAAATTATCAACAATTTAACGGTCGACAGATGCCACCTGTTTTTGAGGTGAGTAACTTTAAACTAATCCTTAAACATGTTTTTGCTAATAACTTTCTCTGAGACTTGCACAATAAGCGATTTTAACTTTTGATAGATAAACTATGTTTATGGAAGAATATACAACAAGAAAAATGTAACTATTCCTTACCATATGTCAGCACTGTTCTTATGTAAAAACAATTTTTCTGAGACGATTAAGAGCGGTTAAAATGTGCTTCCATACCATGCAAAAATATCAAATTCCCGCCTAATAAAACACAAGGAAATTGAACATAACATACAGTGCCATGCTTAAATGTTGTTGAGAGAGGAGAGATGGGAATGTAACCATTTTGAATAAAGTAATTCGTATTTGCCGAAGTTTTTGGTCGTTTTGCATCCAAAATCCAATTTTCTGAATAAGAAACGATAAAAAATTTTCGTTAAATACCTTTTAATTTTTCAAAAATGAGTTCCAATCATGGGTGGATGTCGAATGTCGATTTTTGACTTAGTCTTTGCTAATTGTTGTATCATTACCTCTTTTTGTATCAGCAAAAGAGAATAAAGGAGATATATTAATAAGGTTGTACTCATAAGTGAATCCAAGGATAAAAAATGATTCTCTCTCTGCGACTCACCTTTTCCAAAAGTCAAGTCAGTGAATAATGCAGTCCATGTTATGAACATGAAAAATTAACAAATTCCATGCCTTCTTCAAGGTAACGGTTTTATGTTTCTACCCCGCGCGTATGACACAAGTTTTAAGTTGATCGCCAGCTCCCAGAAGTGGATTAAGCTTCCAAAATCGACCTGTTTTTATGAACAAAACCGTATTATGAAAATAAATTTAAAAAAAAAGCTTGCAGCTGTCAGTTCTATGTGGAAATTAATGCAAATGACGCAGATAGATGTTATCCGCTTCGCTCGATGAAGAGAATTGGGTCTCATAGGAATATCTTTACATGTTAACATGCGTATTAGACACCGAAATTAGTCCT